CATTGTGTCCGACAAATTTCCATCTTTAGCCCATTTTTCTTTTTAGGCAGTGACTGGATCACTGGCATTCCTTTCGTTGCCCGTCGACAACAGCCTTTAACAAACATCGCCCGCTGTTCTGTGAACAATTTCCCTTCTCACTGAGCCCAATTGGATTGAAAAAATATCGAAATACGGCTTTTATTCCATGCTTGCGCTTTGAATCCTATACATTAGATATAGGCAGGTCCTTTACTTGACACCAGCCACCCAACGGAAAACCCCCTAAACGCCTGAATCCCTTCAATCCTTGCTTCTACCATTTGACCAAGCAACCTGGGGTTGTTTTGTTTGCTGTTCTACTCGACAATATCGTCCGAGCCTTCTCTGGGGTCGGGGATATCAACGCTCCCCTTTTCAATACACTCTTTTCCAGCGAGCTGGTCTCGCTAAATAACACACCAAGTTCAATCCCAAGCACTTGACATACAGTATCTTTGGTTGGTCGTCATGCTCTCCTTTCTTCTGGCGATGTCCCTCGCCGGACTGACCAGCGCAACGGATATTGAATTCATCGAAAAACGATCTGGTGGCTACTCTCTCTACTACGAAGCCGTCAATGATGATCTAGCACGCTATTCACTCCTCGCCCTTGGATGTGCTGCCGCCGCTTATTACATCTGGCAGCTCGCCTTCCGCTTCTCTCGCCACCTCAGACGCCTGGCAAGCTTCACCGATGACCGACAACGGTACTTCGTCTCTACGCACAATACCTTTGCCTGGATCAAGGACCATATCATATACGCTGCGCTGTTCCGCAATCGACACAACCGTGAACTCCAACTCTCGTCAGCTCTTAACATGGGTACTTTGCCTAGCCGCTTCCATGCTTTCCTTGTCACTGGCGTTATCGCTATGAACGTCACGCTCTGCTGTGTGACAACTCCTTATGGATCCGAGTCAGACACCCTGGCTGGTGTTATTCGTAACCGCACTGGAGTTATGGCAACCGTGAACTTGATCCCATTGGTCTTGATGGCAGGCCGTAACAACCCCCTCATTGCTATGCTCCATGTACCTTTCGATACATGGAACCTGCTCCATCGATGGCTCGGCCGCATCGTGGTACTGGAGAGTCTTGCACATGTGTTTGCATGGGCTATCCCCAAAGCCAACAAGAGTGGCTGGAAGGTTATCGGAATGGCTCTGAGTAAGAGCAACTTTTTGCTGACCGGCTTGGTGGCCGCTTGTGCATTCACTGCGCTCTTGGTGCACTCGCCCTCGCCTATTCGCCATGCATTCTATGAGACATTCCTCCACTTGCACATTGCCATTGCAGCCGTTTCCATGGGTTTCCTTTGGGTCCATCTCAACAACCTACCGGCGCAAACCTATCTGCTTGCATCCATCATCCTCTGGGCCCTCGAGCGAGCCACCCGTTTCTTGATCATTGTGTACCGCAACTGCGGCCGTGAATCCACAACCGCAACCATCGAGGCCATGCACGGCGACGCAATGCGCATTACCCTGCGCGTCGCCCGCCCCTGGACCTTCCGCCCGGGCCAGCACATCTACCTCTACATCCCAGCAGTGGGCTTGTGGACCTCGCACCCGTTCTCCGTTGGCTGGAGCGAAACCGAAGACAGCAATATCGACGAGAAGTCACTCCCACTCACAAGCACAGACATCCTCAGCGCGCCCCAAAAAGAAACAATCTCTCTTCTCGTTCGCCGCCGCACCGGAATGACCGACAAGCTCTTCCAGCGGGCTGCAAACTCCCCCAGCTCACAGATTACCCTCCGTGCCTTTGCCGAGGGCCCATATGGTAACATCCACACCATGGACTCATACGGCACTGTGATGCTCTTCGCCGGCGGAGTCGGTATCACCCACCACGTCCCCTTCGTCCGCCACCTGGTCGCTGGGTTCGCGAACGGCACCGTCGCTGCCCGCCGCGTCACACTCGTCTGGATCATCCAGTCGCCCGAACACCTGGAGTGGATCCGGCCCTGGATGACCAGTATCTTGGCGATGGACCGCCGCCGTGAAGTCCTGCGCATCATGCTCTTTGTTACACGGCCGCGCAATACCAAGGAGATCCAGAGCCCCTCTGCAACTGTGCAGATGTTCCCTGGTCGTCCTAATATCGATACGCTGGTCGGTATGGAGGTCGAAAATCAAATTGGCGCTATGGGTGTTCTTGTCTGCGGCAATGGTGGTCTGAGTGATGACGTTCGCCGTGTTTGTCGCAAGAGACAGACTCAGTCCAATGTCGATTATGTGGAAGAGAGTTTCTCTTGGTAGACTGATATGCATGATAGATATAAGTTGCTGTCTTTTTGGCGTATGAGCGTGTTTGTTGTGATGGTCACTGTCGTCTTTTATGTAGGGTTATACAGTTGTATGTCCTTCACTTGCCTGTTCGGTTTGCTTTGCAGCTGGCTTTTCTTGTATACTTTGATCTTTTTGTTCCTTTCTGGTAGCGATCTTTCTGCCATATCGGTCTATAGGGTTGTACATATCTTTCCTGCAAAATGCATGATTCGATCAAGGATTGCTCTTAGCTTAAGCACCGAAGCTCACCAACAATCTAGATAGCAGTCCACAGAATTAAATCGTCGACTTCGTTTTTCTTAATGTATCTACTAGGAGCTAGAAGAGAGAGAAAGAAAGGATTGGATTCTTTACAAATAGAAGGCTACTTATGTAGCTCGCAGCCTGACAAACCAGGCATTCATCTCTAACATTTCCTCACAAGTCCCATAGGTAGTATCAACGAGAAAAAAAACAGAGACAGAGACAGAAACAAATCATTACGCACAATAAAATGCATCGGCAGACGTCACATCCCCAGTGCCTTTGTACTTCGCTCGTTGTGGGTATGGGCACAGGATTCTGTCATATGTCTTCCCATCTTCAGGGGAGTATTTCACTGGAAGACTTGTAGGAGCATTGTCAGACTCGACCCAAGCAACAAGGCTGTCGAACATAGTAGAAGGGTACCCTCCTTTCGTGCCAAAGCAGTGTCCCATCATTGGTGCTTCGAACAACTTATAGTAATCATGAACATTCGAGTCGCCAGCAGTTACCGCTTCGTAATATGACCTCGTGCCATTGGAAGGGATTACCTCGTCCATCTGCATAAAAAATCAGTATGAGTGTATTTCTTGAACAAAATATGAAACGTACCAGGCCATGGTATGTAAGCATCTTGCCCCCAGCGTCACGGAATTTCGATAGATCTGGGTTATTCGTTCCAAACACCGAATTCCATTGCTGGACAGACTTTCGGAAAAGATGATCATATGTTTGGTGTGTGATGTTCGTTAAGGTGAAATTCAGGTTGTGCTCGACAAACACCTGAGCCCATCGATTATACAGCTGGCTGGATACCGCAGTGCATGTCCCGTTGGCACATTTCGTATTTGCCGGTGTATTTACTCCTGTCAATTGAGTCCCAGGATAGTAACCATACCACAAAAAATTACCCTGTGAGTCCCGTGCTCCTGTCCAGGTAGCATTAACAATCTTCGCAGTAGTAGCCGATATTCTCAATTGCGATCCAGTGTCACTGCAGTTAATCTGTGTCCCCACTAGAGCGAACGGATCGAAGACACATGAATCTGGATCCGAGATTATACCATCCATGACACCATCGGCACCGTCACAGGCGGAGAGTGCGGCGTCTGTCACAGCGTTGATCTCGCAAGGGTGTGGGTATTCATCGAGCTGGTTCATGATAAACTGAGCCCAGTAACCTCCCAATGAAAGTTGCGGCCAATTGATTGCCGGAGCAGAAGCAGCAATCCCATCGTATGCTTCAGGGTATTGCTGTGCGAGCGCCAGGCCCTGTCGGCCACCTTGTGAGCATCCGGTCCAATAGGAGTATTTGGGTTTCGATCCATAAGCGCTCTCTGCTAAGCTCTTTCCGATAATTGCTGCATCTCCAAGAGAAGCAATGGCAAAGTTGTACATGGTATCATAGTCTGGCATTCCATTTTCCAGAAGGCCCCAGTCTGCAGGGTCGTCACTTGTGTGACCGCCATCCGTTGAAATGGCGACATATCCTTCGGCAGCAGCTGCGATCATTCCATACGCTGTTATTGATGTGAGCCCAGCTGTGTAGCCATTTCCTCCGATTCCTTGTAGTCGCTCGTTCCAGGAATCACTGGGTAGAAGCACGCCAACGTTAATAATATCGTTTCTAGCGGTGTGCTTGTAGGTCACTGTGACATTGCAGAAGTTGAGATTTTGAGCTGTCACGTCACCATGGTTGTAGTAGTACCACTCGGGGATATGCTTGGACACATTTGAGACCTGGGAAGCTCGTAGTGAGAGCACTTCGGCGCCTGGTATGTGAGGATACGAAAAGGCCTGGGCCGAGCACAACGACGGAGAGAGGCTCATGATGTGAAAACCGGCACCTTGGAGACCAGACTCGGAGGAAAGAATTTGCTGCATATTTTGATTCGGAGAGGACATGAGTTTCGCATTTTATTGTTTGTTGTTCCAGGGGTTGCTTTTGGGCTTATTCGAAGGTTACATATAGTCTATACGCGCATTCAGCAGCCAAGGAACACGAATATTGCTGCCTTGGTTCCATTAGCTCAACCGTGTTTATTTTTGAATATCAAAGCGCAGATATTAAGACTAGTGGGTATAAACTCTACATAATAAGAGTCCACTCGGTTGAGAGGCAAAAGCTATACGCGTATTCGAACCCGAGGCTAAAGTGGGGCATCCATGGATGGGCCCGCCCCAAAATTGGATGGCCCTAAATTAAGGAGTACTACTCCGTAGTATTCTCAATATTAGGAGACGTTGAGTGTTATCTATGATATATATTGGAGTAAATATGCTTGATTGCAGCAGAGTATATAAGATATGAATAGTTAAAGCATGTGCTAAATGTAGGGGAAAAAATGTAATTGTTCTATAAGAGGAACTGTCTATAAACAAAAGGAAACCAAAAACTCCAAGTAAACAACGGTATATAGAGACTCGCTTCAAACACAAAAGATTTAAACTCCAGAATAACTGTGTGCAAGTGGGATGTTTCCATCGGAATCCGCATCAAGACTCATCTGATCAGGATACCAAATAAAGAAGATAACCATGACAGCCACCATCGGCAAGCTATCAAACACATACAATGTCCACTCGTGCATAAGGGGGTAACCATCGTTGTCCATGACATATTCAATGATCCGGAAAATAGAGCGGACCAAAATGAGAGCACTGACAGCATATAGCATATGCATCGATCGTTGCCAGGGAATACCAGGCTTGAGGCACTCGGGAGTGGGTGTGCGACGAAGGCGCTTTGCGAACATGATGGCAGTTACCCAGAAGAGGGAAAAAGAGATGAGTTGAATTACCAAACCGGCAACAACGCATACCTTTCCCCACTGGGGGTATCCCAGAACCGAGAGAGATGAGGAGTTTCCCTGGACAACGAAAGACAAAACATCGAACCAGACAAATGTTTTCGTAAGGCGCGAGACCCGAATGGGAGAAAGATGTTCTCCATGAACCCGACGGATGACTCGACCAAGGGTCATGTAGATAGTTGCGGCGAAGAGTGTAGGGCTGAGCAGAATGAATATGTTGGCGATAATGTACGGTCCCATTGTAACTGTATTATTGTGTGCAATGCAGCGGCCGATGTAACCAATGATCTGGACTTGATTTTATGGCAGGTCAGCATCTGGTCTTCAGGGCATGGAAGGATAAGGTTGCAAGGGAAAGGAGTCGACATACAAAAGCCGCCTAAGGTAAATGCTATACAAAACCATGTTCTGGCTCTGAACATTTTCCAACAATGAAGGCCAGTTAGGACCATGAACAGCAGCATGAAAATGACAGCTGCTGGTATAGAAGGTGCATAGTTCCAAAATTTGTAGGAACGAGACACGAGTTCAGACATGTTGGCGATTGTACGGACGCACGAAGAAAGAAGGAGGTGTTGTGAGTTGAACAGACCTGATTTGAAGGATTTAGAGCCTTTATAAGGCGAGATTTTCGGACATTCTCAAGATAGAAGAATCTTTTTTTAATTTTTAGGTCTTTCCCATAGATCAGATTGCGGATACGCGTATAGAGAGGACCCACATGCAACCTTGGAACAAAGTAAAGTTGGCCAATAACAAGCTGCAGAATATTTAAGCTAGTCTAAAAACAGAACCATTCCCTAGGTACAATAGCTTGTACACAATATCATCGTTCTCTCTTTTTTTTTTTTTTCTTTCGTCCGCAGTCAGCCACACTCGCATCAGTCTCTATTTGCCCCTGCTGCTCTTTTGGCAACTTTTGATGCATGTTATGCGGTTGCCTGATAATCCAGATTACAATCGATTGGCACTGGAGCACCTTACTCTTGGAGCAAAATTCTTCACCATATTTTGTCAAATGAAAATGAATGTACTTCCATAGACGCTACGTATACTACCAGGTTCTTTAATGTGGTATGCATACCATCCTTAGGGCATCCTTTAGCATTAATCTAGCGGTCAATCCTGCTCAGTGTCTGTGTCTTTTTTTCACTTCTTCTTCTGGTCAGAACACCATAGTCCTAGAAACTAAGTTACAACTACTATGGACTATGATAGGCCGCCACAAGCATGGGACCATAGAGCTGCTACAAATTGAATATCTGGTTTTTGAACCAGTTGGTGAAACTTTTGTCATGTCGTATAACGCTGTGGCCGGTGAAGACGACGTTAGAGAGCCGTAGTTAGGGTAGTTGAAAGGGACAATATACCGTGTATAAACGCGGGGTAGTTATGTGAAAAAGCGGGGGAAAGGATAACATTGACAGTATAAAGAAGGAGATTTTTAGAGGTGTAGGTTGTGTCAAGCGAGAGGCACCTAACCGCATCAAGAAGTGGATTGCTAGCCGTGTGACAAAGCAAATTATAATGATGAGGTGTGTCATAAATAGAGATACTAACCGCAAAAGTAGCGGGTCATAAAGGCGCGTCGAATAGTGAAGCACATATAGAGATATACTTCGAATAGATAGGTACTGACCGCATGGGTAGGTGCTTCAACCTTGTTTGGGAAGAATACGGGATTAAGAGATTTGAAAGACAATCAGAAGCTCATGAAGTCTTCAGCCAGAACATAGATCTTCCGTCGGAAGATCTCCAGACACTAGCTTAAGGTTTTGACCCGGGAGACTCAACGTTAAAACACATGCATATATTGGGGAAGAAGGCTAGTGATCATGAAATAGTATATATGCCAACTGCACTAGAGCGTCACGTCTTTGTTCTGGTTAATCTAGTTGCAAGCTCCAAGGCTCTAGAAATTTCTATGATCTCAATAGAGCTATCTCCTAACGTCGACTTTCATGGATATTGGTAACAGCTTCCTAGTCTGCCTAAGGCTGTATGGACTTTAGGCCAATTTGAGCGCCACTGTATCTAGCAAACCGATAACAAGTTTGAAAAAAAGAAAAGAAAATTGCTGGGCAACCAAGCGCACGAGAAGAAAGAGATGAAGAGTTGCTGGTCTTGTTAATAAACAAATTGGGCTTTTATAGGCGCCAAACGAGGTTAGTGTCACTTAGGCATCTCAAGTTTCTCAACAGATATTTCTAGCTCTCATGATCCAGAAATTTTGCTGGGGCCTAAGGTATTATTTTCTCGATTAAACAAGGTCATAGAGAGGGTTTGCTCCCCAGGCAGTAGAACTTAGTCGGGCTCATTGCGCTGGCACCTTGGCAATGGGATATGATTACTCAACGACCCCGGCTCGGGGAGACATTGGGAGAACATTCCGCGAGTCGCACGAGCTTATAAATCCGTAAAGTGGGGCGAGGCCGAGGACTAAATATGACCTCAGCCATCGCATACTTAACCATCGATTTATCCTCAAACATAGCAATAATTCAACATCTTCAATTATCTCGGGCTTAATATTCAGTGCCATTTTCTGTTTATCAATATGACGCAACCAAACATCACCCTCTACACGACCCAGACCCCCAATGGCATCAAAATCTCCATCGCGTTAGAGGAGCTTGGGTATAGTAGTTTTCTTGGCCCGCTTGAAGCTTTAGTACTAATAAATTGCAGCCTGCCATACAAGGTCGAGAAGATTGACATCTCTAAGAATACCCAAAAGGAAGAGTACGTGCTCACATCTTTAGTTCTACCGATACAGACAGGTCTAACTTCCGTACAGCTGGTTCCTAAAGATCAACCCTAATGGCCGCATCCCTGCCTTGACAGACACCTTCACCGATGGCCAGGAGATCCGGCTGTTTGAGTCTGGCAGTATTCTGGAATACTTGACAGAACAGTACGATACTGATTACAAGATCTCATTCCCCAAGGGCACGCGGGAATATTACGAGATGAAGAGCTGGCTGTTCTTCCAGAATGCTGGCCTAGGACCAATGCAAGGCCAAGCCAATCATTTCTCGCGGTACGCCCCCGAGCGCATTGAATACGGCGTGAACCGATACGTCAATGAGTCGCGCCGATTGTACGGTGTTTTGGACAAGCACCTCGCCGAGTCCAAGTCTGGTTATATTGTCGGTGACCACGTCTCTATTGCTGATATCTCACACTGGGGGTGGGTAGCCGCTGCCGGATGGGCCGGTATCGATATTGACGAGTTCCCGCATGTTAAGGCCTGGGAGGAGCTTATGGCCCAGCGACCGGGTACTGAGAAGGGCCGTCATGTTCCTGCCCCTCATACAGTTAAAGAACTCATCAAGGATAAGGCCGCTGTGGATAAGGCAGCTGCTGAAGCCAGGACTTGGATTCAACAGGGGATGCAGGCCGATGCCAAAGGCAAAGTTTGAAGAACCGATAAGACATTGATAACAGTTGAATAGCAGAGCGGATAATTTGAAATGAAATTCAAATTCAGAAAGCTTCACAATTTTTAATAGATGTGTTAGTGTTACGGTACAATTCACACATGTACGTACATATATGTAACCATACACCGAATTGTAGGTCGCACTCCGTGCCTTTCCTTTTCCGCTTTAGCTCATCCTTTGCCGTCTTTTGATCAGCGAGTAAACCTGAACAATGAACATCTGTGGACGCCACTGAGTATTATACAACCGTTAAACACGCTGACACAACAACCCCTAACTCTATAAAAGAGCAAATAGTCAAACCCAATCCACAAACAAAGGTGGTGAAGGTGGGATAAAGGGGCAGACCCCCAGAAAAGTCCAGGTCGTGACAGGCTCTTATAGATGGGCTGGATCTGGGCCCGGCAGATGTACTACTGATGTAATTTCTCCCCAGATATAGCAGAATACACAGTGATATCACCCGTGTCCCTCGACCCGATCTCCGGCGTGTTGAGGTCAGCATCTGCATACCCATCTTGGTACACAATGAGCGACAAACGCCCCTCCCTGATGCTCCGCAAGTTCCTTGAATACGATGACTCGGCAGACACGTTAAGGCACAGCCAGACAGCATCTGACAATTTAGCTGAAGATGGCTGGCCTAGAGATCCGTTCCAAAGAGTATTGTTTTTTCTACGGGACGTTAATGGATCCACATACGCTCTGTCAAGTCTTGAAATCCTCAGAGCGACCCCACGTCATGCGTCGTGCTAGGGTGATAGGGTTTGAAATCAAGCTTTGGGGCCCCTACCCTGCCCTTCTTAATGGAGAGTCACTCCGTTCAGTCGACGGCATGGCATATGAAATCTTGTCGCAGACAGAACTTGATCGACTCGAAGCCTATGAGACGGACAAATACCAGCTAATACCTTGCTTTAGTGACCTTTTGAATGATGACGATAGCGTCGAAAAGACTATTGAAGGGGTTGCTTTCATGCGGGACGGGAAACAGGATGAACTACGAGAAGGCACATTCGACTTGAAGCAATGGAAAAAAGAGAAGCAGTTGGGAGATTTAGATTCGCTGCAGCAGCACTAGGCCCTTGGTTCGGTACTGCAGTGCTGCGGGACTTGTCAAGGCCTACCTAGGGTAGCCAGCGCCAAGACGTTTATAGGACTAAAGGGGGTACCGGAAGGCCTAATGGGCGACTAAGTATGCCATCGGAACTTGACTCTCTCATTGGATACTGTCTCTTTCTTGCTGCCTATTGCACATTTTTAGGGTAGGGTACGGAGCGGCAGCGTCTGAAAAAAAAAATAAGAATAAACTGATTTAATACTATAAGATTACTAACTATAGAGTATACATGATGTAATTATAAAATCACTTTAATTATAGAGTATAAAAACCAACTTGATTCTAAAGTATACCCTTGTAAACAATCGATTCTTCTATAGAGTGTATAAACCAGTTCAATTATAAAGTATTAAAGGTGATATACAGAAAGGTCTTTTTACCGCCTTGGTACATGTTTAGAAAAAGCACTCAAAAGAACATGAAAGACCTCTAAAAGAATATCACAAAGCTGTATAAGCGGCTGACTATTCTTGTATACTTGTAAATTATCAATTAAATGGTAGGTATCTTAATTCTGGGTTCTCGTTGACGGGGTTAGGAGTTGTGCCAAGCCAGGGTACCCCAGTTTAGATTGACATGAGAATTCTACATATGAAGGAAGGGTAGTGCGGGGAAATAATCATCCGGGCGGCAACCGCTACAAGGCGGGTCCGCGCTTCGAGTCCGGATATACGTAAATCCGAGGATAGCCTCACCACCGCCTACCAAATAAGATTTTGCTGAAATCACGTGTGAATGCTCGCCTCTTGAACCTTGAAGCTTCTTTCATCCGTTTCACCTAGATCACTTACTACTCACTTTTTTTTTTATCCAAGGCAGCAGTCATGGCTTGGCGCAACCAAGGAATAACTGGCTCCAACAACATCCCGCTTGGGCGGCGACGCATGGGCGGCGAGGATGGAGAGGAGGAGAGTCGCACTGCGACCCCTTCTTCTATGCCCTCTTCGTCTATGGGTCCCGATGGCCCAAAGCGTGGGCGCAGCCCTGTTCGAGGTATGTTTATTCCATAGTGAAAGGGTTGAAAACAAACCAAGACTGACTTTTATTTCAAAGCCGATCCAGGTCCCCTGAATACCGATGGCAAGAGGCGCAAGAAGCGCAACCGCTGGGGTGACCAGCAAGAGAACAAGGCCGCCGGTCTTATGGGCCTGCCGACTATGATCATGGCGAACTTCACCAGTGAACAACTTGAGGCTTACACACTTCACCTTCGTATCGAGGAAATTAGCCAGAAGCTTCGAATCAACGATGTGGTCCCCGCCGATGGTGACAGGTGCGTGCTTTCGTCCTTTGTAACTTGTGCTTACTTGTATACTGACTTTCATAACAGATCTCCCTCGCCACCTCCCCAGTATGATAACTTCGGAAGACGTGTGAACACTCGCGAGTACCGTTATCGCAAGCGTCTCGAGGATGAACGTCATAAACTGGTCGAGAAGGCCATCAAGACCATCCCTAACTACAACCCGCCCTCTGACTACAGACGCCCCACCAAGACCCAGGAGAAGGTCTACGTCCCCGTGAATGACTATCCAGAGATTAACTTCAGTATGATAACTAACCCTCTAACTCCTAACCATTCTTCCATTGCGTTTATCACGAGTCCCTACTCGACTCGAGCTGACAAGACATACCACCTTGGATGTCCTCGGCTTGTTTCTTGCTAAACCGTGGTGCTTGATGCTGCACATGTCTTAAACAATTACAGGATCACTAACACTTAGCTCTCGCTATTTTTACAGTTGGCTTACTCATAGGACCTCGTGGAAACACCTTGAAAAAGATGGAGACCGAGTCCGGTGCTAAGATCGCCATTCGAGGCAAAGGCTCCGTCAAAGAAGGAAAAGGTCGATCTGACGCCGCTCACGGTAGCAACCAGGAAGAAGATCTTCACTGCCTGATTATGGCGGACACCGAAGAAAAGGTTAACAAGGCCAAGAAACTTGTTCACAATGTCATTGAAACAGTAAGTTCCGTTGTCTCATTGTGTGGGTTTAAAAATACCGATATTGACAATTTATCAGGCCGCATCCATCCCCGAAGGCCAGAACGAGCTCAAGCGCAACCAACTTCGTGAGCTGGCTGCTCTTAACGGTACCCTTCGTGACGACGAGAACCAGGCTTGCCAGAACTGTAAGTGAACACATTTCAAATGTTTTTGATTGGGCAATTAATTCTAACTGTGATCTTCAGGTGGTCAAATCGGACATCGCAAATATGACTGTCCCGAGCAGCGTAACTTCACTGCGAACATCATCTGTCGTGTCTGTGGCAATGCTGGCCATATGGCTCGCGATTGTCCTGATCGCCAGAGAGGTAGTGACTGGCGCAACGCCGGCGGCGCGGACAGACGTGGCGATCGTGCTATTGGCACTGGTGATGCCGTGGATCGCGAGATGGAGGTAAGTTCTTTTTGTTTATGACTGCTTTATCACACATTATACTGACATTTCACTTAGCAATTGATGAACGAGTTGTCTGGTGGTGCTCCTGGCGAATATGAACCCCGTCGCATTGAAGCCGGCCCTGATGGTGGCAACGGCCACCCTGATGACCGCGATTCAAAGCCTTGGCAACAACGGGGACCACCACCCCAAAGTGATGTGGCTCCATGGCAACAACGCCGCGAACCTCGCCCTCGTGATGACTACGGATCCCGCGACAACTATGGATCTCGCGACAACTATGGATCCCGTGATCACCATGGATCTCGTGACGATTATGGATCTCGCAACCAGGGTGGCCCTGCCCCTTGGGCTGCGCAGAACCAACACCAAGGTCAACCCCAAACCCGCGATTACACTTACGGATCTCAAGGTGGTTATGCTGCTCCTGGTACTGCCCCAAGTGCTGCTCCTTGGCAGCAACAAGCCCCTCCTGGCGGACAGCAGCCTGCCTATGGTGGTGGATACGGTGGATACGGTGGATATGCGGCTTACCCTCCTGGTATGGGCGCTCCCGGTGTTGCCCCTCCTGGTATGGGCGCGCCTCCCCCTCCTCCCCCTCCTGGTATGGCTCCAATGTACCCTGGAGCTGCTGGCAGCCCTCCTCCTCCGCCCCCCCTGGCGATGCCCCCGCCTCCGCCGCCTCCAAGCGATCTGCCTCCCCCACCCCCACCTCCCCAGTGATGACCTCGCCTACTGGTGAAAAAGTAATCTCGATTCAAATTGTTTTTTCCATGCGTGAAGAAATTGCTATGGTGGCTTTGAAAGACAATTCAACCAGGATTGATTTCAGAAGCCCACGGCTCGCTAACAATTTTCCCATAACTCCATAGTTGTTCTTTCCTATGCAGTTTTGAGTAATACGACTAATTCTCTTTAGCTCATCTTGACTTAAATGTTATATTGTCATATTTACCCCGTACACTCGTATATGAACGTAGCGGCCTGACAGATCCTAATGAGGAGTTGGTGCCTTAGGCCCCATTCACAGGTCTTGGCTTCATCAACTCCAACATTTCTCCACAAAATCAAGCTCCCTTCAATTATGTCCCAATTCATTCCCTCCTATATTTCTTTGCATAACAATACAACTACCTAACTCTTCTTAAATCCATGCTAGTTGTATTGCACTGAAGCATCGGATTCACCATTGCATATGCAAGGGTCGTCACACGGGGATTTGTCCCTCCCGGGACCCAACATGGACGCTTCCACGTCCGCTCAGCGGAAACCTTCTCGGCAGTCGCATCGGTTATCATCGGTGCGCTCAACGCGGTCAGGTAAATCTGATCATGATACCACACGTCAACCTGACCAGTATTTGGACCAGCAAGACAGCACCCAAGAAAACTCGCAGCATCGTGCGTCGACGACAGCGTCGGCGCACTTGCCTCAGACGAAATGGTGGCATGTCCACTTGTTTCGTGGAATGATCAACGATGTCAAGCGCAGAGCACCGTATTATTGGAGCGATTGGACCGATGCATGGGATTATCGTGTCGTCCCTGCTACGGTCTATATGTACTTTGCTAAGTATGCTTGCTCTGGTTGGATATCAATCAATATCTTTTCTTCGGTGTATTGTTTAATTTGCTCACAATCAGTGCAGTATCTTGCCTGCTCTGGCCTTCTCGTTGGATATGTTCGAGAAGACAAGTCAGAGCTATGGCGTCAATGAAGTTCTACTTGCTTCTGTTCTTGGTGCAATTGTATTTTCGCTTTTTGCGGCTCAGCCCTTGGTCATTGTCGGTGTTACTGGTAAGAAATCCTGGAACATATGATCATGAAGTTTCAAACTAAGTATTGTAGGTCCCATCACTGTATTCAACTATACTGTCTATGATATCATGGCTCCTCGAGGGACACCGTATCTTGCATTCATGTGTTGGATTGGAATGTAAGTTTCCTGTACCATTTTCGATCATTGGCTTCACTGACATTCATTGTAGTTGGTCTTTGATTATGCATTGGATACTGGCTATCACTAATTCCTGCAATGCCCTGACATATGTCACTCGATTCTCGTGCGACATCTTTGGGTTCTACGTTGCTTGCATCTATATTCAGAAGGGCATTCAAGTTCTCACCAGGCAATGGGGCTCTGTGGGAGAAACCTCTGCTTACCTGAGTATCATGGTTGCACTACTTGTCCTGATGTGTGCATGGATCTGTGGAGAACTGGGCAACAGCAATCTTTTTAAGCGACCCGTTCGGAAATTCTTAGAGGATTACGGTACACCTTTGACCATCATCTTCTTTACTGGTTTCGTCTACATCGGTCAGATGAGGGACGTTGATGTCGCCACGCTCCCTACCAGCAAGGCCTTCTTTCCTACAACCGACCGGTCTTGGCTTGTGCATTTCTGGGATATCAGTGTTGGAGATATCTTCCTTGCCATCCCATTTGCGATTCTTCTCACAATTCTCTTTTACTTTGATCACAATGGTGAGTACTCTACAGCGAGCAAATTACACTGAATTTTATGACTGACGCGCCCCTTCCAGTGTCATCTCTCA